GTTCAGGAATGGCCTTACAAATTGGTGAGCGACTTTTGCTGTATAGATGGCATCTTCATGAGAAAGTGAGGGGTCAGGGGAGGACAGATACGTGATTTAGCTGTCAATCTGTCTGCTTATACGAATCAGAGCCCTGAAATACTTACTATGTCTGGAACTTTCAGACATTTTAAAGTTTCTCACAGTTTGAGGGTGAAGGCTTACTAGATGAGTGTTGCTATGCCTGAACACTTAAAAACAGTCATACCAGAATGTATTACTGACCTCACAGTGCTTAACACTCACAATGCCAGAGTTTTTATAGTTTTTTTTCTTCTGTCTTTTCTTTTCATTGATGCACTCAAATTCAACCTGCATGAATGCAAACAAATCCAACAAAAGCACTATAAATACCATTTATGCAACAAATTTAAAAATTCTTTATTCTAGGACTGAGGCTTTGGGATTGTACTAAAAATGCAGTTTATTTCACTATCAAGCAAAATTAAACACAGCCTGCCCAAAATCAGCATAAAAAAACCCATTATCAAGACAGAAATCCTCTCTTACACAAAAGCTTACAAAGATGTTTGTTTAGACAACTGTATTTCAACAAGACAAAGAAATGGTGTACCATTTTCCCTCTGAGGATCCTGCTAACAGCTTTCTTTTTGGTAAAGACGCAGTGATTCAGGCAAAGTATCACTGCTTCCAGCAGCTGTGGCAGTAACGTACAAAATAAGAGGTATTATGTTTAAGCTTTCCAAAACCAGTTGTTGAGGCTTCATCAACTAAACCAATACCTTGACTTCCAATTGCAACGAACAGCTAGCCAGGTTTAGCAGCTCCTGCTATCATACAGTCATGATGGCACTGTGCAGTGTGTCTGGTGCATAAACACTCTGAGGAGGTATTCCAGACACGCCTTCAGTCTCAGCGACAGAAACAGGTTCCGCTGCTTTCGTTTAAGTTAATTAAGTTTTAAAAAGTGATCTTGCAATTAGATTCAAGTGAAAAAATGTACTAACAAGGTCAGCACCTGAGAAGCCTACATCCTTCCTGTTTACTTTCTTGTTTTGGATGTTTCACCACCAGCATCACTTCTTTTTGATAGAAATTGTCTTTCAAGGACTTGCTTCTGTACTGTGTCAGCTGGTGAGGTACTCAGTAATAACGACCATGAGATACACAGCATTTACAGTCTTTCAACTACATTTCATAATCCTCCAAACAAAGCTCAGTAACAGCATGCTTGGAGGGAAAATACACCTTAAGCAAAGGTGAAATTTTTTTTTTTTTTTAAATTAGCAATTCTCCAGAGAATGAAAAGTCACACATTCACTTCAGTCATACAAGATCAGCTTTTTCAGCAATTGAGGATAGTCACACCCGTGCTTACCTCAAGTAAACTTGAAAGCAGCTGTGCCAAATCACCCACAAAATCAGCTGATGTCAGAATTGTGGGAGTAACTAATCACAGAATGTTAGGTGTGGGAATGGACCTTGAAAGACCATCTAGTCCAACCTCCCTGCCAGAGCAGGACCACCTAGAGTAGGTCACACAAGAACATATCCAGGTGGATTTTGAATGTCTCCACAGAAGGAGACTCCACAACCTCTCTGGGCAGCCTGTTCCAGGGCTCTGTCACTCTCACAGTGAAAAAGTTTTGCCTTATGTTAATGTGGAACCTCCTATGATCCAGCTTGCACCTGTTGCCCCTTGTCCTGTCATTTGACATCACCTAGAAGAGCCCAGCTCCATCCTGACATTCACCCTTTACGTATTTATAAACATTAATGAGGTCACCCCTCCATCTCCTCTTCTCCAAGCTCAAGAGACCCAGCTCCCTCAGCCTTTCATCAGAAGGGAGATGTTCCACCCCCTTCATCATCTCTGTGGCTCTGTGCTGGACTCTTTCAAGCAGTTCCCTGTCCTTGAACTGAGGGGCCCAGAACTGGATACACTTTGAGCATATAAAGCCAAATTCTAACGTGCACTAGAAATATTTTACAGACATTGTCAAATTAATTGGATCATGCAGGATTAGAGGTTAGTTATTTTTAAAAGTAGAAGAAAGCAGGAGCACATTAACTGTGGTGTCTCATGCCTTTATCTTACTGACACAGCAGTTAAGTTACTTAGAGTAGGTATAGCCACAGTTCTCATGAATATGACTTTCTTAAAGCCCTTCCAAAACCAGCATAGGCAGATTATAACTTAAAGTATCTTTTCTTTAAATTCAAGTAACTGCACCGATTATGCTGCTAGGGGCACAATGAAAATAGATAGTTGTATTGTCAAGGAGCCTTTACACAACATGTTGCATGAGAGCTCACTATCACAGTTCTTACAAATATATGGGCTTGAAAATGTGAACATAGAAATGTGCTAGGTTTGTTTAATTTACAACACTGCTCTATAACAAAAGTTCAATTTTTTTTTTTTAAAAAAAACCACCAAAAAACAAATTAAGAAAAACATCTTGTTAAAAGATTTGTAAAATCTTAATTATAAAAAGCAGAAAAAATGCTTTTATGAAATCCTCCTGCTCCCCAATTTTTTTCTGCACACTTTAGTTACAACAATAAGAAGGATCACTGTCAGCACTGAAAGCTAAACTGATACCATCTGGCCCCCTGAAAATCTAGAAAAAATGAGAAAAACACCTAAAAGCTCCAATTAGGCAGCATATGAATTATATGCGCAGGACGCGAGTTCAAAATTCCTTATGAACAATATAAAACTTGAAGAGGCATTAAACTGAACCACACATAACTCAAAATTAATTCAGAAACAGGTATCTAAAAGAAAAGCACGGCAGGGCACAAAGCAGCAACCAAAAAACCGCTACAGTCAAGGCTGACTCTTCACATTCAACAGTTCTGAAGAATTTAGTACAAATGCAACACTCAAGATGCTAGAAAAGTACAAACAGGCACTCTCATATATATATTCCATTATTATTAATGCAGGAGCAGTTCTTCAGGTTTTACAGCATTAAAGTAAAAGACAGTAAAATATTTTGATAACATACATCCATAAAACAAAGACTTTCATGTTAAGGTTGCTATGCCACCTTTCTTCTTCTAAATGTAAACCTTATCTATTAAAAGTTTTGCAAACTAACAGTTTATAAGAACAGGAAGGGTAGTTTCACTTTAAAGAGACACCTAATCTAATGCATTCAGTTGCATTTTTGAGCAGTGGCATAAATGCTGAATTTTTTCATATTTGCTAAAGTTTGCATGACAGTTCATAAGTGCCATACCTGAAATAGAGGACTGAGTAAAACCTGAAAAAAATACTACAAGCTTTGGCCTTTTAACTTCAGTGAAATTTGTACTGCATTCTGTCTTTTGATACTCTAAATTTTTTGATTTCTGTATTTTTATGATTAGTGAAATTGATTTATGCTGATGGATGGGTATTTACATATGTATTATTAAAAACTGTAACCAAGATATTAATCACATGAAAGTGGATGTATAATATAAATGCTGAGTCAGCCTCAACTACAGTAGCATTGTTAAGGTGTAGCCTAACACAACTGCGATCCCTGCAAGACAAGGGACCTAAGTTTTGCTCCAAAATGAGTAAAACAGCTTATCAAAACCACACAGGCAGCTTAGACTATGTAAGACTTACAGGTGAGGACAGAGATGCTTCCTTCAGTTTTGACATTGTAGTTTGAAAACTTCCTATGAGATCATGAGACCCATCACTATCATAGTCATAGCACTCAACCTAAAATGAAGTATTATTTAGTGTTAGTAACAGAAACGGCCCTATGAAAGCAATAAACACTACAATGGCATGTCTATTTCAGGCAAACTTGAACATCCAAAACATTCCTAAATCTCTTAGGGTGTTTTTCTCATGTTGCAGTCTTAGAATTACATAGAGTTGCATCTAAAAATCACAGATTAAGACTGGGTAAAAGATGATATACCCAGTTTCAGATCAGATCTTCTGCTGAAGTGAAGGAACGACGAGAATACTAAGCAGTGTCAGCATGAGCAAGTAACATCAATCATATTGAATTATAATTCAAGTTTTGGAGTGAGAGGGTGTCAGGAAGAATAGGAAAACAATGTAGGTTTTTTTACTGTCATCATGAACTAAGAGACTTTGTTTTTCAGAGGTATTAAGGAAATTTAACTATCTCTGAGTATTCAGCTAAAAATTTAGTAAATCAGTTATCCATCAATCACGAGAATTCCATTAGACTTTTATATTACTTTATTCATCTTCAAGTTAACTCAGAATTTACAAGTCTATGAAGGTTCACCCCTAAATCTAGAAACAAGACTTGGATGGGGTTTTTTGGTCTTGTTTTCTTGGGGTTTTTTATTTGGGTTTGGATTTTTTTGGTTTTGTTTTTGTTGGGTTTTGGTTTGGTTTGGTTTGTTTTTTTTTTTAAGATTAGCAAATGTAAACAGGCACTGATCCACATTTCACGCATCTGAATGTCAAACAAAAATTCCTCTTTTTCTGTATTCAATGTTTAATGCTATGTTTTACTATTCAATCAATTCATCTTTTAACACCCCAACCAACCAAAGAAGGCAGAACAAGTGAAAAATAGATTTTTTTTTTCTCTTTGAGAACCTATCAGTTTGAATGAGCATAATTTTACCACTATTACTTTAATCTTACAATGTCCTCAATTTTTAATTTTTAGAGGCGCAACTTAGGAATGTGACCCAACTGTCTTTCTAGACAAAAATCTGGGTATTTATCTATAATTGTATATGCTAATTCCATCCACTTCTGACATTTTATTTCAGTTCTAGGAACACAGACATGCTAGCTAAATTAAATCACAGGAAAGCAAATTAAAATAATCTAATAATAATGATAAATAATAACAATAATAAATAGAGTCCAAGTCAGAATCCCCCAGTATTTGGAATCAAAACATAAGTGTCAAGAAAAACTTTTCTGAATAAATATGGCTTAAAGTGAACAGCTATTTTCATGTCTGTCTTCCTAGACTGAAAAAATCATAAATCATATTCAAGAAACAATTTAGTTGATTACTTGGCCACCTCATTTAGGAATGAGAAAGTAAAATAAAGCACTTTAACATACACTTGAGCTTCAGAGAAGAATTAACTTTCTGAAAACAAACAGTAATACTGAAGTACAAATCACGATGCGCAGATTCCAAGTTCTACTCTGTGCAGAATGTGCCTCTATGCTGCAGTTTGCACCACTCCTACAACATTTTGAATGCACTAATAAATAAATAAATAAATGCATGCACATGCACTGAATAACAACTTAGATCTCAAACAAGCAGCCACAGAACCGACAGACTAATGTTCATGGTGGATGCGATGTAATTTCTTTTGAATGCCACAAATCAAGGCAGCCAATCAAATACTCAGCCAAGTGCTTCAGTACCTGAAATTTAAAACTGAAGACATTTCCTAAGCCAATAGTTATTATATCTGTCCGCAGTTAGCACAGTTACTTCTTTCCTTTTAAAGGGATCAAAGTCTGTCTTGCCTGATATATATGACCCACCCAAGCCAATTTTCAGTACTTACTCTGGGCAAGACAGAAACCTTTTTGTTCCACGTATGCTCTCCCGGTCACGCATTGCACTAGGGAACCATGTGATAAAATTGCACGTATATTTTCCCCAGCAGAACTAGGTATGCTTGCTCCAGATGAAAGGCTTACATATTCAACACAGAAAAACTTCACTGACCGCAAACACACTCACATGGAATACAGCAACAAATCCAGAAGATAGTCAACTTGGTTTGTGCATTGCTGGGGATACACAAACTAAGCCATTAAATAGGTGAAAAGCCACTCATTATGGAAAAGTTGGTGGTTTTACTTACTATGACAAATAGCCCATTGCGTACGGAACTGCGCACATACGAAAGTATTAAAAGTTTTTTTTAATCCTTCAACAATATGATACAATTCTGTCTGCATTTTAATGTTTGAAGTGATAGCTCCCGGGTTTCTAAATTAAGACACAATTCCACTGTCTGTCTACCTGTCCGTAACAACTCTAAGTAAAATCTATTTCCTCTGGAAAGAAACCTACACTTCTGAGGTAACATTTCAAAGAACAGACTTTATTAAAATTATGATAGAGCTGAGAATAACTCCATCTTAATAGATACATTTTAGTCAATGGTCTCTAATTCTAGTATAGCTGTTTACTGAAAAAGAGCAATATATTACAGTATATGGAGATGTAAGAGCTGTCACAGCTATTTTGGGGAAAAGGGAAGCAGAAAGGAATGAGAAGGAAAAAAAGCACAGCAGCAGTAAGGGAAGCAGGTTCAGGGCTTGTACAGTCGTTCATTAGTCTGCTCTGTAATTATGTATTTAAATCTATACAGGTGCTTGTAACACCCAGATCCCTGAGGCTGTTAAGCATTTTCCAGGACTGCCTCAAGTCATATGACTAATATCTGTCACATGCAGATCATGCTCTCATTTTTCCTTCCCAGAGGAAGAACGGCAAGTATAGTGGTTTGTTTCATTTGGGCTATTTCTTTTTCTTTCAAATGCTAGAATATCAGGTTCCTAACATGTTCATAGTAGCTTATAAAAGGCATTTCCATTGGTTGTTTACATTCAATTTCACCCCTAAAGGGAATTCCTAAAGAAAAACATTCAGAAGTTAAAACATAATTTATTCAAGATAAGATTTGAAGCTACAAAGAGTTAAAGACCAGTCCTGGTAGAACTACCACTTCACAGGTTTGGCTGAGACTCTGACAGAAAGTTCACTTTTATCCGAGGAGAAAAAGTTGCTATATCTGGTATCCACAAGATGCATCTGGTCCATATCTGTTATCTCAGCTAGTATAGTAAGTGTAATTAATTCTATCAGGTAGTATATCAAGAATTTCATCAGTGTTACCTGTTGCACCAGTAACAAAGATCCGTAACACAGAACAAAGCCTATTCTAGCCTTTACCATACATCTTTCACTATACAATATATTAACACCACCAATGTCGGCTGATGCAACACTAAAACTGTACGATCTGAACAAGAAAATTAATTGGACGTTTCAAAGCTACTAATGTTCTACTGTTTTTTTCAGACTTTCAAAGACCAATTTTTACCAGCTAATGCATCACAAATGTGAGGTGTTTTTTTTTTTCCTAAAGTATGCACGTAGATACATGTCATGTTCAAGTAAGAAACCTAATACTTTCAATTCAATTTGAAACAAAGAGGCAATAACTAGAATAACACATCTTCCATTTATTGCATATTCTAATTTTTTCAATGTATTAATTCATACACACACTTCATATACATTACCTTGATTGACTTGTCCATGTCACTGTAACACAGAGAATTGAGAGAGATTTTAAAGGGCCTCCAAACAGGATTCAGGTTGTTTTTAATGACCTGTTTTAAAAAAAGCCAGAATAGTATTGTTCACAAGACTAAAAAGTAGTTATTGTAATGGATCATACCTTAAAACTATGATTTTGTAAGCAAAAACTGTTGGTTTTGTTGCTGTTGTCTATCACTTCCTGCAACCCAAATCCTAACATAGAGGATATAAACAAACTAAACTTTCTTAACATGCAATATCATTGGCCAAAAGAGATGTTATTTTACAACTCCATATTTTTCTAGACTGCACTGTGATCTACTGTATCATTCAGCTACTACACTGCAAAAAATTACATTTATCTTCACAAAAACATTGACTTTTTTTTAAAAGCACACACATATATACATACATATACACAAACATATATAAAACATGACTTACAAAAAAAATATGCAAAAAGATTACACTGGAATTTCTGAATAAATCAGTCCTCTGGAGATTACAATTCACTCCAGCTTGTATTTATTCTGAAATGTCACTTATGGAAATATTCCCTCAAGAAATTCATGGTATGGTTAAGCAGAAACAGTGCATAAGGATAAAAGGTCTTGCAAACTGAGTGCTAAATAAGTGATATTTAAGAATAATACTGAAGGATCTTCAGAATTTGTCAACTGAAAAGTATCTGTAATATACTCAATACACCAAATAATGACCTTATAAAGCACAACAAACTACACACACCACGCAATACTTAATTAATAGTACCTAATAATAATAATCCTTATACCTCCAGCACTGTAGGAGTGCAGAGAAAGAAATCTCTCTTTTGAAAATTAAGACAGTAAATAACAGTTAGTAACATAAAAAGGTTTTTAAAATCCATAATATAAAGAACTAATCCTCCAGCTAGTTATAGGCTGGAACAACAAATTCTGGATTCATCACTGAAATTGAAGATGAATGAAATCCTCATGGAAAAGATCTATTTTATGCAGCAAAACCACCTCATGAGATAAACTATTTTTATAAATGTGACACAAAAAGGATTTACACTTCTTCAACATATGTGCTTCAAACTTAATACTGTCACCAATTCAAATGCACACAGTACCTCAGTTATGACTAGGGCCTGAGCTTCCACTGCAGTGAGACATTTTGAACCTACTCCTACCCTGTCAGCTGCTGCCAAGGGACCTGTGCACCTCCTCCTGGGTAGAAGGCTGCTGCTGCTCAAGCACGTTTTCCCTCACCCAGCATTATCCTTGGCTTGCCCTTGCTAAGCAAGCATTCACTGTAATTACTTTCATTAGCAAAAGGTACAGCTAGGTCACACTGACATAAGAACAGCACAGTCACAGTAATGCCCAAGTTCTACCCTCAGAGTAGTACTGAGACAAATGCCCCTGTATGAGTGTGCAGTACCTTTTCAAAACATTTGTTTCCTTCTAGATTGCAGAAAGATAAAATAAAACCCAAGAAATAAACCCCAAGAAATAAAAAGTATTTTCCTTTAAAATAGGATGGCATAAATCAGAATCAGAGTAAGGTAGACTTCCCGTTCTATCAGAAAATCAGTGGAAGAGCTGAGGCTATCTCTAATTGGTCTGCATGTCAACTACCAGACCATTCTCTTTTTTTGTAAGGGCATTCTACCTTTGGTGCTATGACATAGTGGAAACCAAAAAACCTTAATCTCTAGGTTGTTGACTGAAAATATCCTACCTCTGTCCTGTGAACCATCACCCAGTTTCCATCTCCAGTCTGCTTGTGGAATTCCAGATAAGGATCTGACTTTCCAAAAAAATCCTGTATTCAAAGAACATGTAATTATCCCAGAACAGCCTGTGGCATGAATGCCATTAAATGCCAGTTAAAACACAATTAGACTAAAAAAAAATAAACTAAATATTCATGGAACAAAAGCTTTAGATGAAGAAATGAAAGTCTGATTATGTTATCACCTGTGAAAGAGAGAAAGAAAATAGGGGTATGTCTGTCAATTTATGTAGTGACCACATATTAAATACCTGACAGTTCACACATAAGAATACCTACACTAATCAGCATTATGATGAATTGTTAGGAAACCAAGTATTTCATCCAGTACAAAAAAGTATCATTAAATCGACTGGGAAAAATAACATTTTTTCTATTATTTATTTTTTCTAGTTTTCAAAAATCTTTCTAAGTTCAGCAATTTTAGGCAGCCCCAAAATGTTTAACGTAACAGATTTATACCCTCCAAGTATACTCTTTAAGATTTATTTCAGAGAGCTAACAGGTAATCATTTATACAGCTATTCAAACCAATGGATATACCAAAACTCCTGTATCTTTAGGATTAAACATAAAGATCTACATTTAAATGGGAGAATGCTGTTCACAGACTACCCCTGCAATGCACTTGTGTTATTTAGAGATACGTTATCATTCATTTCAAGTCAATGAAGTTACTCTGAAGCAATCTTTCTTCAGCTTCTGTTTTAGTGTTAAGAAAAATCTTGATGGATTTAATTATTTCAGAAAAAATAAGAATGAACATTTTAATGTTTCCTGTTTTGACAAGATTCTGATTTTACTACTTTATCAAAGAAAGAGCCATCACTTAAATACCTTATTGTCCAGTTTCCTTGCTTCTACTTCTAATACCACGACCCTGTTATCCTTCACTTCTTCTGCTGTAATCTAGATAGGTAAACAAAATTAAATACTTATTCTGTATTCAGGAACTATACAGTTTTCTTATATTCACAACACTCCTATGACAGGACTAATAAAGAAAATCATTTTTGCTCACAAACGAAACATTAAAACATAGGGTGGGGGGAAGGAGGAACAATTTGATTTGACATTGGGATTCACTAGATGATGACACCAACAATTAAAGATAGTACCCAAAAAGTAATGCATCAGATGCTCTGATTATTTTGATGGATGCAATGAGACTCGTAAATGCAGAAGGCAGGCTGCTCTCATTTTGGATGACAAAGAAATATTAGTGGAGGAAAAAAAATGCTTTAAGATACTTTTTACAGCACTAAAATTAGACACATTGTGTTCAAGCCACTAACTAATTAACTAAAAAAAAAAAAATCCACAAAAACATTTAAGGATAAACACTGAAGAATTTATTGCCTTAATTGTCTTACCATAATATTTCCTCTTCCAGCAGGTCTGCCATTTTTAAGTACTAACGGCTTTGTTAGAGTCCCGCTAGAAACTATCTGCCAAGATAAAATTTGCGTATCAACCATTATTAGTGCAATTTAACAGATTTTCAACGGAATGAAATGGGATAGTGAGGTATTTTCATTTGAGGACTTTTTCCTTTACCATGAAGATGACAGCATTACATTTACTTCCCACAATCTCCTACAAATAAATAGCTAATACTTGATACACTTCAAAAATTTTAAAATATATATGCAGATAAACACATGCAGAGTTTCAGGAACAATATGAAATAAACTGTCTTCTAGTAACATGATGCACATACATGGACAAAGATAATACCTTAAGTTCCAATCTCAAATTGTTCTTAAGTTTTTTATACGTACCATTCAAACACATGCAAGCCACATTTCAAAAAGGCCTTCAGCAAACAGATTTATAAACACAATTTTTGTCATGCAAACAAACATCAGCCTCCTCCCACAGTGTTTCTAGTTGATTTTATTTTATCCTCTTCAGGCAATGCTTTCTCAGAAATGTGTCTACTCATTCTACAGGTCCTTCTTTACTTTAAAGAATGAATGATTAATTCTAAACTGTTGCCAAATTTAATTTCACAATGCCTCCATCTTCATAATGCACTTAAAATAAAAAATAAAAATACTTCAGGCACAGGGGAGTAAAAACCCCAAGAAGACTTTCCTGAGAAGTGCCTTCAAAGCATCTTTCAAGCATCTATTAGAAAGAACAAGTTAAAAAGAAGATGCCTGATGGTGATATCACCAATAGCAGAATTTGTCAGGGAAATGGGAGCGAAATCAACAGTAGGCAAAATCAGAATCACTACTTGCTGTGAATGGAAAGCAAATTACAAGGTTAATATGGTTCTTATGAAGACTCTCATGTTGCTATACCCCAACTCTCTTTTTATGAAGCATAAAAATAAGAATTTGAGTACTAAATAAATTGCAACTACTGATTTGTGCTCATTGACAGTCCACTTGCAGGCAGCAATCTGGACAGTCACCATCCTAGAGTACATTTCAGTGTGTCATCTCAAGACCTTTTGCAAATAAAATGTATATACAACAAACTGAGGCTTCAAAAAACAAATGAAGGGAATCCTAGTTAACTTAAGAATACCCCAACTGCACAAGAACACAGTAACAAATTTAAGATAAAAGTGGTTAATGATTTGCAGTAACTTCTATTTTCCTATTTCTAAGGGAAATTATCTGCATACTTACTTGTCCCAGTGTACATTCAAATTCCCCTAAGAAGTCATCATCACTCAGATCAAAGGTTTTGTTATCAATGTCATATATTCCAAATTTAAGTTTCTGAACAAGCTCAAAATAGTAATCAATCAGGAATTTCTTGGCAAACCTTGGGTTCAAGGAATTCTTAACTCTTTCTGTGCGATCAACCTGCAGTTAGAAAGATACCACTTTATCCAGTATTTCATCAACCAAGCACTGAAATCAAATAACTTATTATTAAACACATTCAAAAGTTCTTCTTACTATGAAGTATAAAGCCATATCTTCCCACAAACCTTTCATCAAACATAAATAACCACATTATATTACAAAACCCACTGCTGTAAGTCAGAGATACTTGAGGACATGTTTTTCTTTGCTCCTTGTAAGGAGCATCTATTCCCGCATAGGGAAGACCAACATAAAAATAGTACATTGTCAAATACAGGATGAGATCCTAGTTTTAGAGTACTGTATTTATAAAAGCACATTTAATCACTTAGAAGGCTTCTTCTGTTGGTCCACACATGGCTGGGGAAAATAGGGCTAAAAATCAGACAGGTCTAAGTATTTATTAGGAAACGATTATTAGTGTGCTGCCTATATAACTATTATAGACATAAGCTAATGAAAAGTAGTCAGAGGTCTGTATAACGGTATATAATTAAAATATTTCAATGAAATCATGCACTCCAGTGTTATAAAAGGTCCAACAAGTTTGACTGTTTTTAACAGATTCATGAGAAGCATCACACTGTACCTCATACCACTGCTGACCACTCGTGTTCTGGAGAAGCACACACAGTGGGTCTGACTTGGAACCAACATCTTTGTCCAAGAGATTGGTGCAGGCAATAGTCAGCTCCACCTTTGTCACACACTGCGCTGCCATTTGTTAAGCTAGAAAACAGAAATCATTATTTTAAAAATGGACTAAAAATAGCAAAAAAAACGAAATTGTCACACTGCATTAATTCTCTGACTGATTATCAGAATTGTTAGCTTGTCAGGAGTGAGATCTGAGGATCCAAATGCAAACTTTAAGATCTATGATGTACCAACATTACAGTACTACTGTCATACTCTTGGCTTTGCCACATAAGTACAAAACTTCATTTCAAAATCTGCACATAATAAACAAGATCAGGTTTCCTAGAATGCTTGAGGAACCAAATTGAAAACGGGATGCACCACTAAGAAAGCCCAGTGGTTTGAACTGCTGACAATAAAACTTTGTAAGCTTTACATTACATCCTGTAAAGCCCACATGAATGCCAGTATCTTACAATGTAGATATTAATAACAATTCAATTAATAAGGAAAAAAAAATCATTATATACTTCCTCACCAAATCTTTTTAACAAAATGCTGAAGCCATGAGCGTGGCAGTATTGGAAAAGAAGTTTAAGTGGGTAACATGAATAAGCGATCTTGCTTTAGTAAATCTTCAAAAACGATGACAATTTTTAATAATAGGGACAAACAACTTTAAAGTCAAGTAACAATTAAGAATTAGGAGGAAGTGTTCTTTCTGGAGGTTCATTTGAAAAAAGAACTGAAAGCTTTCTCACATTTCCTCTTAAGTATCTCATTCATTCTCCACTGGAACTGAGAAGACCAGCAGATAGTACAAACCTACAGAAACAACTTCATTATCAGTTATGAATCCCATGCTGGGATAACGTGCATTTGCAAGCCTAATTAGGTCTGAGCAGCAGATAGTCTCTCTATAAAAAAAAATCTCTGTAATTGTACTCTTCAGGAATACAGTTGATCATTTCCAACACCTCTTGAGGTGAGCCTCTACGGTACAATTGCCCTTGACTCAGACTAAAACTTCCAGACCTCTCCACAAGTAGCCTGTCTTGAAAGTTCCCAAGCCTCTTTATCTTCAGGTTCTCCTTCCCTACAGCAAGTCCACAGCCTAGCTCACTTGCATCATACATATATATATAGTGTACTTGAACATAAAACTATACTTAACCCAGTCAGTCCATCTCGCTTCCTTTTACTGCATTCACATGACTTTTGGTGAAAAGTAACTTTTTTTAGAGGCAAAAAGGGAAAGTAGCATGGAAAACAGCAATGGCAAACTGAAAACAGGAGAAAGAAAACATTGTGGTCTGAGGGAATTTTCCTAAGGCTTCTCGTATTCCACTAGGGTACACTTCGCCCGTTGTCTCTCCATCTCTGTTTTGCTATCTTAGAGATGGACCTTTTGGAGACTGAAGTAAATATATATTACCTGTAAAGGAACCACTCAAACATTCATGCACATACATTATTTTTAATAAGCATGTCAGATTCATGGAAATCTTCCTGCACCTCTCAAACACCTACACACAATCCCATCTTAAAGAGTATCTTTTGCTGCCGTGACTGTATCAAGTTTCAGCCATTGTCCTTTAGGGAAAAAAAGGTGAAGCTCTAAGTATTTAAATTGTTTTTAAACCAATGCCTTTTTAGGCTTAGAAAGCATATCTCTAAAAAGCAGTCTGCTCTTTTTTTCCTGGTTCTCTTTTTATGCTGGTATTTTCCATTCCCTGTTGCTTTCCCGGCTGCCAGACAGAGGTCATTAACAGTCAGCAGCTTTGCCCATAGAATCCAGCACAGACCAGTGCATGACTCCTTAATGGCTGTTTCCAGAAAAAAAAAAAAAAAAAAAAAAAAAAACCACCAACTTTCTGCTGACAAAATTATGCTCTAATACCCACTGATGCTGCAACAGCAAGTAGAAGGGTTTTTCGTGAAACTCAACAGAATTCAAACTTGAATTGAGATTTATTTCTAAAACAGTCAAAATGTTCTTGCTCTAACTTCCCTGAAACTCCTTATTATCAGTCCCTGAAAGCATTTGTAGCCACATTTCTTTTCTTAAAGTAATATTTCCAAAATCACCGGTAAACAGCTAGCATACAGTCAACCTAAAAATCTGGTCAGCCTATGTGTGTGCACACATCCCACCCCTCTTACATCACAAGTACTTTCTCACATGAGTAACATCAATTCTGTTACTTCCTGTCCTCCACATGTCACTGACTTTCCCACTATGCATCTAATGTCTGAAAAGAGCAGATTTTGCAAAATGGGTGCTGTGCAAAAAGCATCCTTTAACACACAGAGAAAGGAAGAATAAAAAAGCTGCTTTGCTTCCCTGAAATGGAATTGCTCTTGTTTGAGATGTAATAATTGGTCCATATCAGATAAAAGACAACTTGTAACAAGAAGATGCATTTATCCAGTGGAGGATACTCAACTTGAAAACCAGATACAAAAGCAAAACTTCTCAAATCCCAAGATGGTCCATTGATCTCTTCCATTTCCAGTTTTGTGAAATCCAAGATGAAAAATAATGCAAGGCATTTTCCTCAGAGGTTTTGATAATATTAGGGATCACTATTTGTATAATGGGTTGAAGGGGTCTGTACACTTCTAATGCATTTTGAGAAATAATTTTGCTATTTTACTTGAAAAAATACATGATTATCCATAATATCATAAGACCGATACATTTTACAGCATAGTTGTATACAACCTGATTTGCAGTAACATTATAAACATTAAAAGTCAGTAAAACACTTACTAGTGAGAGAAAGTTGTATCTCATTAACCCCAAACAGTATTTACAGTACTGAAACTCAGTACATAAACAACAGATACTTCTCTCACAACAATTGCAGTCACTACAGAACTTGCAGAGGGCACACAGATGCTTCACATGCGTGAACTCAGAAGTGTTTCAAACACCAGTAGCTGTTGGAGCTCTGCATACACTGCCATAGAATTCTCATAACTGCATAGTGCATAAAAGGAAGAATGACTTCAGCTCCATGCAATTCCCCTCATATCTGAAAGCCTGTGTTAGCTGAAAACCTCCAAAACAGGTTTGGGAGGTGGGTGGTAGGATTCTTGATAAACATCCTCAAGGATCAGAGTCACTGTCAGGTAAGTAAGCATGCTCTTTTTGAAGACCTGATGGAATACAGAGTCTGGCAAACTGCAGTCTCTTCAGGACAGTGGAAATAAGAAATCACAGCTGTACTAGTGTATTACCTCTCGAAATACCACTCTACAACACACTACCCGATCTAGTAGGCAAATCAGATGCAAAATTTTCTAGATACAAGACTATATTACTTGCACATTTGGGATACTGGAATAACTTTACACGGCATCACAATATTGTTTGGGGTCTGGCAGGACAAGCCTTGACTGCCAGTAAGTTACATCACATGAGAGATTTACTTATTCAATTCAATGCTGCCCATCGGCCAAATATAGTTAAAACCTCTGCTTTTCTCAAGCTATCAGCTCTTTGTCATCCATGCAGGGTACACCATAAAGTGAGGTAAAGCACACCAGAATGGGGCCAAACGACAGCTCAATAGTCCTTTTTATTGGAATAGATTCTATGACCACAGGAGTATAGCACGCTTTTAAAAAACCACCGACAATTCTGGACAGGAGAAGACTGAAAATTACTATATGAACTGCATGGCAGAACTTGCGACACCCAGACTCCAAACTGCAGCAATATATGGTCACCAGGGAGATACTTGTTTGTTCCTGATCCTATGACATGTCCAAGTCGCTCAGGAGCATGACTAGGTCAACTAAGTATATTACAAGTCCTTCTGCTTGAGCAATCACTATCAAAGCAAAAGTGTAAGTCAAGGACTAGTCTTGTCTTGCAGTTCCACCGATCACAACGTTCTCTGAATTCCGCTAATGATTCTACCAAAGATAAGTGGTGTCCACCAAATAACCCAGCCAATGTCTGCAATCATGTCAACGCTGCAATACTAGAGAAGAGTACAGGCTTGCCCAGATAACCTTCCAGAGTACAACAACAATATGTTCATAACTATAGGTGCTTCCCAATCTGACAAGCAGAATACATAACCACAAAAAGACTAACAAAGTGAGCACTGCTCTAGCCGTGTCTGGCACCATTGCCTTTAGTTGCAAGTCTCAAACCTGTTCTGACGTAAGCTATTGCTGTCATAGCATATTTCTCAGTTCCTGTGAACTACTAACGACAAAAGACCAAAAATCCATATTTTGTTGTTACCTCAGGGCCCAGATGGACAGGGGAGACATTTCAGAACTTGTTAATAAAGTCTATTCCTGATCAGCTAATCTTCTAGCTATAATGCTACGCTTAAGCATTTTATGTAAACTGTGTGCCAGACTGAAAAAGGCTGTACCACATACAAGCAGTGCTCCGACCCTCCTTGGATTATTAAATATTTCTTATGAACCTGGGCAGACAACAATATGGAAAAAAATTAATTATTCAGACTATAAAAATTAAAGTCTTGAGCCAAGCCTAAACCTGAAATAATGCCTATGAAGCTTTACTGTCCTGAATATTCACTATATGCAATTGTTCAGTCTCTTTCAGGTAGGACTAAGATACCATTTCTTGCAAATACAAATTTTTGTGGTAAAGATCTGTAAGCCTGTATTCCTTACAACCTCTTCTATTGCATCTCAGACCAAGCAATAACAGCACTTCTTGCAAGAGTCTTTCAAAAGCAGGGTTCCAGTGAAGAGCTGGCATAAAGGTGGACAAAACAAAATTTAAATGAAAGTAACCTGGGAGACAACATCCACCTGACAATATAACTCAATCCATAATCTCAGCATAGTCCTCTAGCATCTCTACAACAGCTGCATATGTAGAGAGCAGAGAATGACAACACACTCCCAGAAAATGCCACATCTATTGCAAAAAGCTGACAATGAAATTATTATAAATTGATGCTTCTTTCCACTGATGGGCCTAGTAGTGACACAATTTCTAAGGATCTTGGACTACATATATACAAATGTATATTTAAAAAAACCTCAAGGTAACCCTTCAGTTCTCAAGGAAACGGAACACCTCACAG